AAAGCCTTACACGACTTGAGACTTAACGACACAAAACTTACGGGTTGTGTGTGTGTGTGATTTTGACCCACGTTACTGTGACTTACTGTGTACACACTCCATAGGTAAGTTTACATTTATAAATGGTCTGACATGTTTCAATAGGCTCGACTTAGGATCTTCAGAGGCACATGGATAGTTAAAGAGATCAACACAGTAATATATATATATTAGTATATTTTGGTAGCAGTCTTTCCTGTAGACATATATTGTTAAATATGACCGAAAAAGTAAGATTAATAATTCTAAGATGAATTAGAAAGATCGAGAAAATTCGTGTTAGAATTATTAATCTTACTTTTTCGGTCATATTTAATAATATATATATATATATATATATATATATATATATATATATATATATATATATATATATATATATATATATATATATATATATATATGTAATATATATTCCTCTGAGCTTCATTGGTAATCAGGGAAAGTCGAAAATTCAAATCTGGCAGCAGGATGGTGCTTCTGAATATCTTCCTTATTAAGGCTACTCATAGCCTAGCTGAGAGAGCTTGGGCCTCACACGCGTGTGGGTCCGCGGTTCGAGACTCCAACAGCCCAGGCGAATGGAACAGTAATATATAATCCATGTGAGGTAACACGGAGTGATTATACAGTCAACAGACACATAGCTCATACGTCCATTTTGGCAGTGCTTATAGTAACGATGAGGACCATTGTACATATATAGACGTACGACGCACTTAGAAAGTAGAAATCGGTACTATTGAATTTAGACAAACAGGAAAAGGTTTTGTATTTATGTTGCAAAGACAACCTAAACTAACCTAACCTTCCTAGGCCTAATACACGATATCTAAGGCCCAATATAGTACATATGTGTGCTATACTAGTCCAAGGAATTATTTAATTTAGTTTTTAGCTTATTTTTTCGAACTCTATACAGTGAATAGTACCAAATTCTATTATCTAATTGCTTAGTACGTCAATGTTTGCACTATGGAGCACATAGTTACAAAAACTACTATCTCAACAGGAGGATGGACTCACAGTCAAGGCAATCTGGTCCTGCATTCTCAGTGCTCGACTGGTTCTAGGCGAGGGGAATATATTTACTGGAAGGGTTTTCTTTTAGGAGTATTAGATTCTTTAAGTGAGTTATTAGATTCTTTTAGGGAATACTGGTGTAAATACGATGTTACATGATTTTTTTTTATACTATAGGTGTCTAAAGGTCTTTCTGAATTGCATATTTATTAACCAAAAAAATAAAGCTATTTGTGTCTGTAGTTTCAATAATAAATTGAAACATATTTGGAAAAAAAAACTCAATGTTCAGTAGAGTTGACGAACTTATTAGATGTGTTTGTTATGAAAAGGTTTAGATTATGTTATAATTTACTAAACTTGTCAATGATTACCTTATCAATAAGTGCTTGTTCGTGAAAGAAAAGTGTGCCAAGGGGACGCACTTTATATCTGTGCAGGTGAAAGTCTTCAAGGCACTAAATTGCGAAGAATCATTTAACCGCCTCGTTTTACCGATATCAAAATATTTGCATGAAAAACCCCCCTCGTCAACATATTGCATTGTTTTACTTGTCTTACGCACCATTTTATTTTTCTCTAGAGAGCCCTCCAAAAAAAAACATAAAACTGCTTTGCACCGTCGACATTTTTGCCGTTTGCAGGTCAAAATTCCCATCAAAAACACATCACATCGTTGTCGAATGTTAGCAGGTATTGCATAAGCAACATTCACCACCACTACGAGAGCCTAGGCTATCGTAAGTGATCTCGGCCAACAAAGGACAATTGCTTGGCGACTCCGATGGAAGATTGCGTTGAAAGGTTACTCAATGTAAGACATGGTTGACTGACTGGATGCTCAGTTCATTCAGTTATTTAATCTGTAAATATATGAATATGATTTCTAGAGCTGTAAAGTTGCAAGCTCTCAGCGTTCTCTTACGTCTATGTTGCAAAGTTCGAAAAGCTAACAGTGTGTTAACTAGCGATTAATCTTGCCTACCTATAGGAGCAAAAATTCGTTCCAAGGTAAAAAGTGTTTAAAAATGATTCGTGAATATGATTTCAGCTTTCTGAGTTACCACAAAAATTCAATGTGTAATTATAAACAGAAACAGACTGTCCATAGAATTTTTTTTATTATTATTTTTTGTGTCGCTAATAAGCAAAAAAGGACAAGTTGTGTAATTATAAGGAGAGGCGCTAAGCCTGTGTGACTGCACATTACTTTGAAGGGATATAAGGGCAGGATAAGGTCTGGGATATGAAGACAGGATAAGGTCTTAAATATGAGAACAGGTTAAGGGCTGGAATATGAGGACAGGATAAGGTCTCAAATATGAAGACAGGATAAGGGCTGGAATATAAGGACAGGATAAGGTCTGGGGATATGACGACATGATAAAGTCTGGTATATGAGGACAGTTTAAAAACTGGGATACGAACAAAGAATAACTCCTGTAGGGTATAAAGGCAGGCTCAGAGCTGGGATTTGAGGGCAAAACAAAGTACAGAGAATTAATAGCAGGATAAATGCTTGGATGTGAGTAGGATGTGAAAGAGCAGTGCTTATATATCCTCTTCAAGAAATCCTTAGTAATTGATACTACAGCCAGCTGACACGAGAGAGGATTTCACACTCAAAAGTATACATTCATTCATGCTTTTTGTCCCCTGTATATTTGGTATCTTCCCGAGGTGAAAACACGTAATATAAAATGTGAGAATGGATTAGACAGTGAGGAAGACTTTAGTGATGAACTTAAACCTGACAAGCAGGAAGTAGAGAAGTATTATGATGATTGGCATGACGGGAGAAATGGTAATATTTTAGTTGAGAAATATTATTAGCGAAACTTTAGGAGAAAGTGGACAAGAAAAATGTCTCTACAAATTTTCATGATTTTTTGGGGTGATGTAAAAAGATGGACGGCTGGAAAAAAAAAGTTGACATGAGACTTGCCCCCACCCCGCGTGCGCACACACACACGCACGCACACACACACACACACACACACACACACACACACACACACACACACACACCCAGACTCCCTCCCTCACACTCCCTCACACAGACGTGAGACTCACTCCCTCATAAACACATGTGTCTCTCTTTCACATTAACCAGAATCTCTCATATTGCAATGCCTCGCTCCTTCACACAGCACCCTACACCACAACACACCACACACACCACTCCTCACCACACTACACCATGCCCCAAACACCACACTGTTACCAAGCTCATCTCCAAAATGCAATTTGTGTGTGTAAAAACTGGTTTATGTATTAAGTTACTCAGTCATAGCCAGTCCCTTGAAAACCCTGTCAAGTGGTTGGCTGGGACCCCCTTAGCTAGGACTGTTGCCCAATAGCTACGGTTCCCTCCTTGGTTCTTCGAGGATTTAGGGTTAATTTCAGCCTCCTATTAAGGCCCAGAGGAATCCCTCCAAAATATGAGTTACGGATTACTCTTACCAATAAGTCATATTGTTAAATTATTTTATCTTTTAACTTATTAAGTTATTTTATCATTTTTTGAAAACTGTCAAGCGATCCAATATCTATTGTATTAACATGGGGAACCTATATTCCAAAAATCTAGAATCCTCACTCTAAACCAGAGTATTTTCCAAATTCTTCTCTGAATGGAAACGAATTCCTCCTATACATATTATATACAATTTACATCAGCTACTCTCCTTCCTTCTCCTTTCCTCTCCCCTACTCTCCTCTCCTTCCTTCACTCTGGACCTTGTGTTCATCTACTCTTCACCAAACGCGTTCACTTGGTTTACTATTATAAAATACAGAGTGCCAACCTAATCAGAAATAGCCGAGCCACCCACTTAATCTTACCAGCCGATGGATAGAAAATGGGGGTTATCTGTTGTTGTTAAAGATTTGCTACCTGGAACAAAAAAATCCAAGTAGCACGGGCTATGGTGAGCCCGTAGTGGATGATTTTTTTAGGGGTTATCTGTGAGTCGCTGCCTTTCATAGTACTCATAGAATAACATTCAAATTGAGATATTAGTTGAGAGGAATGGATGCTCTACCGCTACTGTGTGCATCCTTTATACACCAGATTCCTTTCTCACACGTGCCAACAGAAAGGTTCTGAAAGTTAGAAACATATATATCTCCTAGTTTAAAGTTGTACGTGTGTGTGTGAGGAGGGAGATAAGGCGTCTCCAGAGCATCTGGTGTGCAAGGGTCTTGGGTACAAGGGCGTAGGTGAGGTGTGTGTGTGTGTGTGTGCTGTGAGGGGCGTAGGTGAGGTGTGTGTGTATGTGTGTGCTGTGAGGGGCGTAGGTGAGGTGTGTGTGTGTGCTGTGAGGGGCGTAGGGCAGCCTGTCTAATAGAGAGTTGGGTCATGGCATGAGGCAGCCTCTCTCTTATGTGTGTGGCCTCTCACCTGCTTGTACTCACTAAGCTGTGCTGTGTCATGTCTACATTTAAAGCTGTGTAGTGAGTCTTCACTTTTTATACTATACTATACAATGAATCTATGATATACTATACATTAATCTACACTATACATGAATCTCTACTATACAGGAATCTATATTATACATGTATTTATACTGTATCTTGTATCTATACTATATTTTCAGTATTCAGATTAGTGTATGTAATTAACTTAAGAATCTGACACTGAAATTTGTGTTTGTGTGCCAGTGCCTTTGGGCTGTTATAATGAAATAACCTGTCATTGTGGATGCTATAAATTTCCCTCAGTATTTTTAATGTGGTGATCATGCCTCTCTCAGCTTTTTCTCTCTCTCGGTAACGCTCTGGTCAACTGTGCCAGCCTTTCTGAATTTGTTCATTGATACATCACGTTATTGGGACTTCTCTGTCTATTGCTAATTCTTGTGCTTTTACCGATTTGTTATATAACACAGGGCACCCGACGGCGACCGTGTCGCTGTATTCTCTCTCTCTCTCACACACTTCTTTGTCATTCTCGGTAAACGAGTACTCTTCTCTCCTCAGTTCCATCACCGGTTCCTCTGCCGTTTTTCCTGGTGATGTTTCTGGGCAACTTGGGTCGAGTCTTTCTTCCATCTGCCAATGATTGTCTTTCTGACCTACCTTCTCACACCGAGATACTGTTTCTATGCTGTTTGGTATTCTTTCTCTTCTCTCTGTTGATCTTTTGGTCTTGTAGTTTGTCCATGTTGTCATGATTATGCGCTTCGCTTAATTACATCCTCTCTCATGGTGTACCGGAGAGTACGAGAAAGCCTCACTGATGGTGTGTTGTGAAGGCTGAGTAGCCTTGGGGGGGGGGGCTGAGTGGACAGCGGGTTGGATTCGTAGTCCTAAGGTTCCGGATTCGATCCCCGGTGGAGAGAGAAACAAATGAGCAGATTTTCTTTTACCCTGATTCCCCCTGTTCACCTAGCAGTAAATAATTACCTTGGAGTTAGACAGCTGCTACGGGCTGCTTCCTGGGAGTATCTAACACAAACGAGGCCTGGTTGAGGACCGGGCCGCGGGGACGCTAAGCCACGAAATCATCTCAAGAAAACGTCAAGATAACCCACTATGTGTGGTGTCTGAACAGTGTGTGTGCATTGTGCATTGTCACAGTTTGCACACATTGGGATGTGTGCAAACTGTGCACACATCCCTACTGTGCACACATCCCCGTCCCAACTGTGCATTGTCACAGTTTGCTTCGATGTGTGAGTTTTCTTAAGGCTTCTCAACCTCCGGAGGAATATTAAGACCCCGGCGAGCATAGATACCATCCACGAAGTGTACTTTAGACCTCGACATAGCCCAGGACTAAAGAATACTCGGTGAATACACACAGAAAAGCAGCGTACACTTCACGGTCTGAATACACTTGTGTTGAAGCTGAAGCCGACCTGTTCGTTGGCAGGGAACCTGTCAGCATGGGGGCCGAGTGTTGCTTATGTTCAGAGTCGTGTCTGAGACCTGTTGTGTCTGGAGGTCAGCTCTATAATTATGTTGTACTACCTGTTGGGTCTATCATCGCGGTCGCCGGAGGTGGCGACCGTGTTTAATCAATTCTTGACCCCCAGATTAAAGGGTTGACTTCTCCCTCCATTGATGTTTTCTCTCAGTTTACCCTGAATTAGTTTGATTGAATCAGCTGTGGAAAGCGTTCTGTTTTATATTAGAGGTTGTTGTTGTTAAAAATTCGCTACTCGAAACAAAAAGTTCTAAGCAGCACAGGCTATGGTGAGCCCGTAGTTAGTTCATATTAGAGGTGTGGGTGCCTGTGATCATTCACGAGGCGTCTGTAATCCAAGGATGATATAAGTGGATAATGTTGCCTTGAGATATATATAGAAAATATTTGTTAGTTGATCAGCAAGTATTAATCTTTCTTATAAGAACGAGGAGCTTCATACTCCTAGCCAGTAGGTTCATATTGACGAACTATCCTTTAGTAGTTATCGACCTTAAGGCATAAAAAGTTAAGCCGACTCTTCCCATAGGTTAAGAAATCCACGATTTATTTTTTTCCGTCACTTCAGTTATTGTCTTGGAAAATAATTTGAAGTTGAACAATCAAAATTTTTGGACACGACCACCATATAGGAGCTGCTTATACCAAGCATGGGCATACCTGCAGCCGTGCCAGCGTAACTGTGGCTAGACACTGGCATGCCCCAGTGCCAGCCGTTAAAGCAGTGACAACGGTGACAAATCAGTGTTACTGACATGCCTGGCTTCCGTGACAGAGATGATAGGTAAAAATGCCGGTAGTGGAGGCAAGATAGTTCCATGCGGCACAAAGAGTCTCAGAGATAGTGAATATCAAAGATAGCAACATGTCCTATGCAACATGAGGGGGTGGGGGGGTTGAGGGGGTGGGGGGGGGGGTTGAGGGGAGGTGTGCACATCATCGGCATCAAGTCCTCAGTGAGACATCAATTGCTGCAAGGGAAACTGTGTTGCAAGAAGCAACACAGTTTCAACTTCAAAATACAGTAACAACACGCATTGCACGGCAATACACACGCATGAGTAGTATGATATTGATCACTATGCCAGATGTAAGTGATGATAGATACATCACTATCAACGAGATATATCACTATCAACGAGAGACATCACTAACAACGGGAGACATTACTAACAAGGGCGTGAATAGCAACAGCTTGGGCTGGACGGTAGAGCGAAGGTTTTGCTTCATGCAGGTCGGCGTTCAATCCCCGACCGCCCAAGTGGTTGGGCACCATTCCTTCCTACCGTTCCATTCCAAAGCCTTATCCTGACCCATTCCAAGTGCTATATAGTCGTAAAGGCTTGGCGCTTTCCCCCCTGATAGTTCCTTCCCTTCTTTCCGGCTGATTGTATAATTACTTGACTAACAATAGGACACGGCTAACAACAGGGAATTGACTAACAAACTGTGGCATGACACCCTGTTAATCATGCCAACTATCATTTCAAGCATGAATGACCCATTAACAACAAAGACATAATTGTCAAAAATTGCACTTGAAAGCTCCGAATATCTGTTTTCTCATGAACTTTAAAGTCAGTTATGCGTTTATTTAGATCTAGTAAATATTTAGATAAACCCTTGTTATCATAATTAAAAAAAATCCAATTGATTTCAGAGGCTTTTATATTATTAAACATATATATTTTCCAGATCCTTGTAAATTTGTTTTTACGTCATTCAAATATGATTAGAAATTTGTAAACAACGTCACTCATCAGATCCAAACATTTGATAAATTTTAAGAATAATTTTTAATCATTAAAAAACTAAAATTTCATCCCAAGAATAAAAAAATCGCTTTAAATATGGGTCTTTAATAAAACGAACATTGCTGAACATTATTAGTCATGAGCACATGGAATACACATCGCTATGTACATTTTGGAATCGTCTTTAATCCAAAGCATGCGCATGAATCAAATTAACTACCTTGGTAACAATTTGAACGACTTATTTAAGTTCCCTAAACCCCTCTTTGCACGCGAAGCCACCTCGTTGACAATACAATGAAAGCTAATTAGTATTTGTTCAAATATTTTGCAAACACATTTACAAAACCTGCTTCTTGATCAATGAAGGCTGGGTGCGCCATCAGTTGTCAAGAAAGCTATTTGTGAAAGGTCAACCTGTCCATTAGGCAACAAACTCGTTTAGTACTGCCTTGCATATTTCAGCCACCCTGTTGGATGTTCAGGTAACGTTACCGACTGAACCAGTTCTTCGGCTACTTCGCCACCCTAACAAAATTGAGTAATAAAGACCGACTGGCTGACGTTTCAACAGTAGTCTCATGACGACAGATGACAGTCTGATACGTAATAGCCAGAACACACTACTTGGCCTAGTATGCAAGAATATATACTCTTGCCTAGTAGGCAGAGTGATTTTCGTTATTTAAAAAGGATTTTACATGAACCAATATCTTTGTCAGCAGTTCTGCTAAGCGTGTTGCTATCTTTACTGTGTTCCTACTCGCTAACAAAACCTTAATGTGCTAAATAAAAAATTTCTATTCTGGAAATCAGTAATACACAAAAATATTCTAGCTGTGATTCTTTAGAAACATAGAAACCCCCATGATTTCAGCCTCAATTGAAGCTGTAATACAAAGAAGGTGGATTTTCTATTAATATACTCCAACCTTACAAAGAACTGTGTGAATAACAAAGCTTGAGACCAGTAGAATCAACATTCTTAAGCACTTCATCCAAGAATTCTGGGCTTACAACCAGAAGACCTCTTAGATAAACAGACGGCAAAATTTATTGTTTCATATTGTATCTAAGTTCTGAGAAATAATGAACATAAGCCAAATTATTCGTAAACTTTTTCTATAGACTAAACTTAAGTTAAAAATCTTCCAAGTGAATAAGGATATTCAAAAATGGCAAACTTTTATCAGATTCAATTTCTAGAGTAAATTTTAATAGAGTTGACTTGATTATCAGGTTCACCTTAAAATTCTGTTAAATTTAAAAACGAAGGCCAAATTTGGTTTTTCAAATACAAAAAAATACAAAATATGCACCGAGAAATTTCGCCCCAAAAAATGTGTAATTCTTGCCATTTTTTCTGTGTTCAAAAGAATTGTCAATCCCTTGAAATTTTGTTATATACATGTTTTATTTAATTATGACAATACAGTTAAAAAATTAGTAGTTGGAAACAGCCCTTGTAGTGTCATTTACATAACCCTGTCACTTACAAAATACCTTGTAAAGTTTGTACTAAATTTTACGTAGATCAAGTATCTATAAATTTGAAATTTCGAATTTTGCAGCATGAATATCATATAAATAAATGGCCAATTATCGAATGCTCTATTTATTCCATTCGTCAGAAAATTGGCACCAAAGTGATTGTGAGAGGTCTTCTTCAATACCTAATTCTAAGAGCACTCTCAACATTATTGATCCTGCATTAATGCAAATTACAAAGCCATGCAATATTAACATTTAAAATGATTTGTACAATTTATGTCCATTTTGATTTGATCAATTTATAAACGATTTGAGTAAGATCATTAATATACAATTATCTCATTAATATCCCATTAGCATTGATACTTCCTGAAACTCACACGTATTGATCTAATTGGCTTTTTGCAGTTTCCTTTTGTCCTTTTGTTCACGAACCGAAGACATTGTTACTTTACCTCACCTTTATCCCTCCTGCCTACATCACCACCACTGACTTGCTGCATATTCTGCTGAAGATGTATTGATTAATACGAAAGAACTTGGGGAATTTCCTGTCTCATTTCCCCTAGTGGTAAGATATTGTCATTATGTATACAGTATGCAGACGATGAGTCACAATATTGTGACATGATATGATATATATATATATATATATATATATATATATATATATATATATATATATATATATATATATATATATATATATATATATATATATATATATATATATATATATATATATATATATATATATATATATATATATATATATGTGTGTATATATATATATATATATACAGTGAGAAACCACAAGGTCTCCTCTGAATACTTTTTATTTTCTTCTCCGAGGCTATGGGTCCCCACATTGGCACCAGAGGTGGGACCCTCACAAATTTATATATATATATATATATATATATATATATATATATATATATATATATATATATATATATATATATATATATATATCACACAAACTTCTCAAGCGAAAT